TTTTAAATAGTTAAAGTTTGTGCTAAAGTGATTCTGTGGCCATGTAGATTGTAGTATGTTTTCTATTCCAAATATTGTGTAAAATAAAGAGGAAAGTAACTTTTTATTGAACGACAACTTATCTGGTGTACATTTCTTGGACTCATCAAAACCAAACCCCACAGTACACTTTGGTTTATATGTACAGGCCCAATTCCAAGTATATGTCATCTCAAGGACTTTATAGATTATTAAATCAAATCACACAGATCAATTAAACATTTCCCTTTTAAGGAAACCAAGCTTATTGCACTGAATCATTTAGTTTGCAGAATTCCCTCTTTGTCTAGCATGCAGCGATAACACATTCATTTGTAGCTCTCTCACAGAAATCATGCATGCAAGCCCAGTAGACAGGTAAGATCTCTAGAGCCACGCTAAGTGTGAGAGGGCCCTATGCCACAGCTGACTTTAAAAATAAAAATGCAGAGACACTGATCCATAAATGATTTCTGTATTAGAAAAAAAAAAAGGTAAAATATACCCATGGGTGACTTTTCATCTGGGGAGCAATAATTTATGTGGACATTTCTGCAGGCAAATATGTAGACAAAAAAAAAAAAATCACATCTTAAACTAGTAACAGTCAAAATAAAGCTCAGACCTTGTAATGCCTTGAGGGAATATGGAAACCCCATAATCCAGGCAGCAAAAATAGTAATCGTTCAAATAATTTTTCAAAGGTAAACTGGTATTGCAGGAACAGAAACTGGAATCAGTGGGTTAGTAGCCAAATGCAACTCAGTGGATTTGAAGGTGCACTGAATGAAATCCACTAACAGTTTGGATGATTTGAATCGCTGAATGACTTATCCAAATCTTGATGGTATAAGACAGAGCTAAGGCTAGTGGGGGAGTCTTAGTCTGTGTGAGCGTCATGCATAGTGAAGCAATCCACAAGTTTCCAACATGGTTGGATGGAACAGGTATCTGAAATCCAGGCAAGAGAATCAGAAACAGGAGATACACTAATGGACGCAGATTTGTCTGTTTTGTCTGTATAAAGTTCCGTGAGACAGCATGTGTTATGAATTCGTGATTTATAAATAAACTGAACTAAATTGAATGGAATTTGGCATTTTACACAGATATTTTTGACACAACAAAACAGTTTGATTGATTTTCACACAGAGATGCTCAGAATATTGTGTGTGATAGAAAAAATATTTATTGGCATCAAATTAACTACATTGTCAATTAGCAAGAAATCCCTAAAAGCCTGAAAGATGCACAAAGAAGAAAATGTCTGAAAATCAGCTTTTTTTTTTTTTTTTTTTTACATTTTATGGAGTTTCGCTAGAAGGCTTTAGCATCACTCTGGAGAAAACTGTTTATGTTGAACTGTTGAATGTACACCTCATTAATGCAGCTTGGTGCCTCTCTTAGGTCTGATTATGGATTAGGTACATTAGTGAGTGCCAGCACGTATATTCTTCTGCTTTCCTGTTTCATTATCTATAGATAGCTCCTTCATCTATGACTTACTGTACAAGAATGCAAAGCACCTTAGTGCATGCCACTTAAAGCAGCAGTTTGCAGTAGGAGGATTTCTGAAAGATGTCCCAGCATTAGTATCCTCCACACCAATTCCCCACTGGAACAGTGGCACTCTTTTTATCTTCCTTTTCATTTGTGAATAGATGGCTGTGGGAAAACTCATATCTTTCATGTGTCTTCTGGCCAGAGTTCTTTTATTTAATCCTTAATGATGCCCGAGATTCTCAGTTGTGCAGAGAATCTGCAGTATATAGCTATATGTTCATAATTTAAAAACTAGCAACATTTTTCAAGGAATCTGGTTAAGAGCTGTTTACTGTGTTGATAGAAATAAAAAATTTTAATAATTTTTTTTAAATAATTACTTTTTTATATTTAAGGAAATCTGTCAGTAGCCAGACTGATATGTGTAGAACTGCCTTGAGTTTTATGTTATTAATCCGGGATGGCTGCCGTTCAGTCTGTCCATGAAAAGGAGGGACTCTTAGTACAATATTTCGAGCTGATTGGGTGAAGTGCCACCTAGTACCCGCCTTCCATAATATGCTTTCTGCCAATCGTAGCAGCTATTTGTGACTTTCTTCTGCAGCTTCTTGAGTGATTTCACATCTTGCAGAGTAAGCTGATAAATCAATCTTTCTCGAAAACCTGTCGGAAGAAAAGCACAGACCTCTTTCAGAAAGTGCTTCTTCTCTTTGCTCCCTTTTTACACGAGAAATTGTCGCTGTCTTAGCTAAAACCAAATCAACTGCGGTATCGACAGTCCTAAGTAAGCATAAGTTACTTGACATACGTTAAGTGTAAATTACTCATAAATCATGGTGTCCAGCTTATCCAAAAACTATGAGTAACATGTTTATAACTGATGTGAAACTTATCAAGAACTTATTTCCAGTGAATATCAATGTATTTGACGTGTTCCAGACGACCACTGAACGTGTTTCCAACGTACATCTACTGTATAATGGCACATTGGCAGCATTTTGGTATGAAAGGGGGTTCACAGGAGGAAACCGTTATTTCTCCTCCAGACTTCATCGTCATCATAGTGTGAGTGAGAAGGTCAGTTTGATGGATCCTTCTTGCATTCACGCCCACAACTAAAAAACTTTGTAGCAGACATGCTAGGTTTGCAATTGCAAACCTTCTTTCTTTCTTTTTTCTTTTTCCTTTTATTCATTCTTTTTTTGGGAGCTGCCGGTAAACAGCCGCTATGTTAATACCGCAATAAAATAAATCTTTTTATGCAGACCTGGCGCCTCCGGGCGCATCGTGTCTGGGGGGAGGAGCTTTAACTGATGCACAAGCATCATTTCATGGGCATTACACTGCCATGTGTTATGTATAAGTTAGCCTGTCGTTGGACATAAGTTCTGGACTCGTTATGAATATGCTATGTAAACGCCCAAAATTGAAAAATTACATAGAAAGTTCAGCGTTGGCCAGCATTTTAGGACATTCTGGTACGTCGGGCATATGCTGTCTAAATCGGCAAGGTGTGACAGAGCCCTAAAGGGGCTCATAATTTAGACAGAATTTGTCACTTTTTCTTTGGGGAAGTAAGTAAAATGGTTGGTAACACTAACTTTTAGCATTAGTTGTCCTGGTAATCAGCCGACAAACAGTACAGAATGAGAGCAAGCACTAAATAACTTATTTTCAAAGATTATCTGAACATTATTAGGTAACTGAGCTGAGCTCTGCCATGCTGGGAACACACAACCTTGTGGTGCTGCAACTTGCTGGTCGAAGCTGTAGGCCATCTTCCTTTCATTCTTTTAAAGAAAATGCTCCAGATTATCTCTCCTGTCAAGCGTGCCAATGAAGAACAGACCACCTCCATTGTTGGATAACAGGGAGAACCTTGGATAATCTGAGAAACATTCCTTCTTTCTGAAAGCTGTCTGAACCATAATGTACCAAATTGATTTGGCCAAGCAAAACAACCTACTACCTGCTTGAATTGCTGAAGCTGTAGCCATGAGCTTCTGCAGCCAGCCTTCCCACTCTATGCAGATCGAGTGAACCAGAAGCTCTTCCCAACTCACCACTGCCAAAAGCCAAGGATGAGAGAAGAATTGCATGAGTCTTCCCTTGCCTTTTTTAACCGCAGGGCGCAGCAGAACCTCACTTGTCCACTTCCTTGCTGCGCTGACCACAGCCTGCATCACCCCTTTGCACTGCAAACAAACCAGTTGCCGGGCTGCAACCCCAAGGCCTATGCAAGACTGCAGCCGAAAGTAACACAGCCATCTTCAGAGGGAACTGACAACAACTACTGTAGCTGCTAGTTGCTGGAACAGGATTACTCCTCTGGAGTTAACAGCTTGATTATATAGACATTTTTGTGTTATGGTTTATGATGACTAATTACCAATTGCCATTGTAAAATTAAGTTAATCATTTAATTCTTACTTTTATATGCACCGTTTTCTTCTTTTCCATCTATTTTTTATTGCAGCTGATGTCTCAAGTGAATTTCTCCATGGTGAGATCAATAAAGTCCTCTCTTATCCTATCTCTTCTCTTATCTAATAGATAATCCAAGTTGTCATTTATAAGAAAAAAAAGGCTAGTAGCTGTTAATCATAATAATTGGGAATATATTTTTGTTTCTGTGTTAATTTTGTTTAGAAAGATGAAATATCAATTATGATTTCAATTTTAATCATTGATAATAATAATAATTAGAAAGAAATAAGTCTATTTGCATAGAAAATGTAATAAAGATAAGGTTGTGTTAATCAGCACCAAATCAACAATGCGACTGATCTTTATGTATACAACTCTCAGCTTTTTATCATTTGGTGAATCTTTGCGCTATAAAGGATCTGCACTGTTTTTCCCTTCAAATACTGCTTACAACTATCAGATAAACTTCTTGTGGCAATTAACAGCTAAAAAGTCAAATATTTAACTCCAGTGATAATGTTTTTATTTTACTTATTTTTAAAATAGAGGTGAATCTAAAACAATACTAACATTGGTGAATGGATAATAAGTTGTTGCTTGTCATGACCCAATATGTTGGTGATTTGTTTATGGCTCGTTAGGCTGGCCCCTAGTGAACAGATATCTGCTAATGGAACCATTATCCAAGATTGTTTGGCTGATGTCATAGTTTGAAGCCGTGCCAGGCTCCATCTTCCTGCATGCCTTAAGGCTATTTTTTATGTTGCACCGCATAGATAAGACTGACCTGACCTGACTCTGCTCTAAGACAGCACCTATTATTTCATGTTGTGGTGATTTGATAAAGATACTAGAAGGGGGGGGGGGGGTAGAAACTGGTTTATAAAAGTTACTTTCTGTTTCACCAATAAACATTATCCTTTTACATTAGTTACAGTCTGCCTATCTTTGATAGCACCTGAGATTTTTGATCAAAGACTTAGTGCAGCCTTTTGAAAAATCCAAATCCTGTGGCAATGTAAAATTGTTCACCATGCCTCTGTCTATTTCAGGTGAGCACCTGCGTGTCTGTCCTAAGGGTTACACCTGCTGCACGTCTGAGATGGAGGACAAACTCAGCCAGCAAAGCAAACATGAACTTGAGCTTATGGTTGAAAACAGCAGCTACAACATGAGAACAACTTTTATCTCTAGACATAAAAAATTTGATGGTAAGTGATGACATTTTTATTTGTTTCACATTTAATTGTATAAAAATAATAATTGCTGTCCCTTCATATACTTTGTTACTGTATGCCAGCAAATTGCTGTTCAACTATTAGGTACTCTCAAATCTGATTTATTATTTATGCTATTTGTTATTCATGTATTGATCTTTTTGTACCACTTTGCTGCAGGGAGTTTTGAGATTTTCAACAAACATTTATTTTATTATGCACCACTCTTCTAAAAAAAGGCTAATAGAAAGTACAATATGTGTCCAGTCTTAAAATAACCAATAGGGATGTATCCACACTGCAACAGGGATTGCGAATACACTTTTCTCTGATATTTGTTTAGGGTTCTGTGTTTTTTTTTTTTTTTTTTTTTTTTTTTAGAGATTTGATTTTGAAAACCAGGAAACTGTCACCAAATGCAATAAAAGTCAAGTCTGGAGTCAGTGAGTAGAGGTGGATGCTGGATGAAAAAAAAAATCGAAGGTCAGCTGCTGATAAGTGGATTTGATTGAGTGGCTCTGACCAGTCACAGTGTATGAGCGGAATACTAGCCAGTGTTGCCTGAACCGGTGTGTACTTAAATCCTGGAGATTGTGGGAGAATAAGCAGGGCGGTCAGGCAGATTAACAGGCAGCCAGGCAGATAGATGAGGCTTAGTGTGAGGCTCCTGGTAATCACTGAGCATTGCTATGCAGTGACTAAGCGCACAGAGACCACAGACACAAAGCCAAAGGAAAGCAGAGGAATCTTTAGTTGATATAAAAATGACAAGGATAAATGTTGAGCAAGCTCTATCTTTATTAGATATTATGAGAGTAATGTGTTAATATTCTGGTGAGTAAAACGACCCTAAAATGGTCCATAACTAAGCAACCACAACACAATGATCACCTGCATGTAGCTGAGGCTTCCTTCTAGATAACAAGGACATGCTGACAAAATTAGGCAAATTCTATATTTGGGATCAAATCCGTCAAGAGCAAATCATATTAGTTCTGTAGAAAGGACAAAGCCCAAAAATTCTATAATGTGATTGAGCCTTCAGATTTTTGACACAAAGTAAACTTTCATAACCGATTTATTTGTATGTATGTATTTTGTCAATGTTTTTTCCTATGAGGTAGGGCCCTTAATATTGCTCAAACAGGCCTTATCAATTCATCAATTTATCTTTATTGTCATTGTCACAAGAACAACGAAATTTAAAACAAGAACAACGAAATTAAAAAAATCCATTATAGATTTATTATAATCACTTTTCCTCAGTTCCTCAAGTATATCTATTGTTTACCTCTTTTTTTTCCTCCAAGCCCGTTTCATAAAGATTTTAAACGAGGATCAGAATTAAAGACGAGAATATATAATGTAATGTTTTTTATTCAATAAAATTTGAATAAGATCTTCAAAAGGTTATGTCTAAACTTAGAATACTGCACGCCACCATTCTTGCAAGGACTGCTACAACCTTTTAAATGAAGAAATATACTTTTCGGATTATATTGCTTCAAACTGTATGAATTTCAGTTTAGGACTTATCGTACTCGTCGTCTCCCGCTTTATCCGGAACCGGGTCGCGGGGGCAGCAGACTAAGCAGAGACTCCGCAGACACCTCCTCCAGCTCTGTTGGGGGAAGCCCTAGGCGCTCCCAGGCCAGCCGAGAGACATAGTCTCTCCAGCGTGTCCTGGGTCGCCCCCTGGGCCTCCTCCCGGTGGGACGTGCCTGGAACACCTCCCGAGGGAGGCGTCCAGGGGGCGTCCCAGTTTAGGACTTATCTGTAATTTAAAAATGTTATTATTCTAATCAACAAGTTTCTCTGTTTCTCTTTTTGTAATGGAAATCGATTGGCAAAATGATGTGAAACAATCATTTTGCAAATCGATTAATCTGTTGATTATTTTTGTTTATTAAGGAAATTTTTTAATTAATTGAAACCAGGTGAAACTAAAACTATTCACCTTGAGGAGTTCTGGTTAGAGCATACTGTCAGACAAAAAGGTTTTTCATCTTAAATGCAAAATGTTAGTATACTTTTTTTTTTTTTTACAATTTTATGTTGTAAAAATCCACATAAAATAGTGTATATTTTAGAGTCTATATACTCCATTTAACGATTAACCAATTACTAAATTAGTTGACTATTATTTCAATAACAGATTAATCACGATTAATCCTATGAATTGTTTCAGCTCTAGTAATGTTAAATAACATCTTGTGCAACTTCAACTGTGAAACTCCACTCAGGAGTTTGTAACTGATTTGTACCACAAAATAATAAGGCAGACATTTCACAAAACATAAGCATTAATTTAAGAAAAAAAGATGTATCTGCATTTATTTCCAAAGTCGTAACCTTGCATCTACCAGTATATTTGTTTTTCTGTACTTGGTAATGTCCTGCTTTTAGCCCCAGTACAGCTTTATCTAAACACTGTATAGTTTTTATTTATTTTCTGTGTATTATTTGAGGCTTAATGTTGTACTAGAGATTGTAGAGACTGGAGGTTTACACTTTTTGACAGTTTTTTGAATGTTTAAAGACTTCAATTTCCACAATAATGCAATCAGTTTGGAAATTGAAAGTTTCGAACAATGCTGATTTGTTTGCAAACATATTAAATATTCACAAATAGAGCATCATGCAAAATCATCTTTCTTATATGATCAAATCACTACTCCTCTTAACAACACACACTTTTCTATGACATTAAGCTTATCCCCCTCATGGGGTTTGAATCATCCCTTATAAATTTTACATGCCCCCGTTTCTGTCTAAAGTTATTTATAGGCCCCTATTATGAAAACCTTAACTTACTTTTTGATTACCGACTGCTTCCCCTGAAGGCCCGTGGGTTCTGATGCATTATTGAGCAATACTGAAACCATAAATGACGGTTGCACACTAGAAATAAGGCTTGAATATTCTGAACATCCAATCATCTGGTTGAGGACTCTTTCACCCCATCTTTCAGGATACCCAATGCTCAACCAAGGACATTCAAGACTTCTATCATATAAATACCAAAAATAGTGCAGGGGAAAAGATCACAGCCGACTTGGTGGAGCTGCTCTTTTACAGTAATTTAGCTTTCATAATTATTATCTGACTATCATCAAACATGGATTTTACATTTCGAATGCATTGCAAGAAGCTGATGAATTCCAAATGTGAAAATATAAAGGAAGCTGAAAGCTCTTAATGATTTCATCAAGGCTTTTCAAAGCATGTTGCTCAAAGATGTCTATTGCTTGTTTTTAATCAGAACACCCTTAATTCTAATCATGTGTTTTTCTTTTTTTTTTACTAAAGAATAATAGCATACTTGATAAAGCACACTTAAATATGCTATGGCAATCTCTTTTAACTGTATTGCCTTCTTAGACAACTTTTCTGTGAACATTCCTGTATGTTAGTATGCTAAACATAGAAAAAAAAAGGTAGTGTAACCAGCTGCAGGCTAAGATTGAAGCAGCTATGTCAAACTTACAGGGGTGCTAAAAGTGCACAGATTTGGATATGGTCAAGGTAGCCACCCTAACCAATGCCTGAAATGGGATGACTGCTTTGTGTCTGTGGCAGCAGAAATCCCGAACTGCTCGGAGTATGTCTATCATCTCACAGTAAGCCGTGGATAAAAGGCAGCGGCATGCTGTGCTGAAAGCAAAGGATATTGCTTTTAGGTCTAAGAAGATGACTCAGACCATTCACACAGCTGAAACTTGCCATCAGAGTGGCAAACTGGGTCTCTTCATTCTGTTGTCCACAAGGAAAGCCCTTCCATCTTTTTATAAATGCATCTTGAATTATAAACAAAAACTTAATAACCAACTAGGTCAGATTAGGGGATCAAGCACTGTTTAAGGTGTTTTGCACACAGAGCCATTTGAGCTTTAATATTGTGTTATTCAGACAGTCCCTACAAACACATCCATCTGTCTATCCATCAATCCGTCCATCTCTCTGTATACATATTTGTGTGTATATTGCAAAGCCGTTTCCCTTAGTGAGCTTTAAAGTATGATCATGTTTTTCTGTCTGATTAGCTTTTCAGACTGTGTTAGTACAAGATTAATTTCACTATGGATTGAATTCATTTCACTTCAGTTTACTTATAATGCACAAATTAACAACATTTTCTCAAAGCCTTGTAAAAAAACATCATACAGATTCATAGCGACAGCAGAAAAGATAACTCCTTGCTAACTGGAAAAAACCTCCAGCCGACACAGGCTGAGTGTGAACCTCCATCTGCCACAACCAACTGGGGCTGTAGAAGAAACAGCGTACACAGACACAGACACACACTCAATCCCTAATAAAACACAGAATTACCAATTCAGGAGAACGTTCTATGTTAAAAGAAACAAAAATGTCGACGGCTGTCTACCCGTAGATATTATAAGAAAGAGACAGGGTTAACTACTCAAAGATAAGACAGAGAAAAAAGAAAGATTAAGTTGTGGATGGATGGATGGATGGATGGATGGATGGATGGATGGATGGATGGATGGATGGATGGATGGATGGATGGATGGATGGATGGATGGATGGATGGATTGATTTCATTTCATTTTGTTTTTCTCTGTACTGGCCACAAGCATATTCATGGTTGTCTCCAAGGTTTCATTGTTTTTATGGCCTTTACTTCTCTGTTGCAAAGTGCCTACTCCTTGCTTTCGTTTAGCTTGGATCTGCACCATGCCTGTGACTATTTCTTACCTTTTGTTTGGCATTCACATCACTTTGAGCAAATGGGCTCTATGCACAACTCCACTACTTTCAGATTTTAAGCTATGTATATTAATTGACCCTTCTGCATTTTTTTCTATTACATTTAGATGTGTTGTTTGCTCCTCTTGAACGACAGATGCTCATTAAAATCAGTTTGGTCAGTGCCTTTTCTTTCCCTCTCTAGTCTGCAGCTAGAGATTAGTGTATATGGTTGGGTGACTAAAGTCTTGGGTTGAACAGCTTTCTTGCTTGACAGAGTTCTT